ATGTTGATCTTTAGACATATCTTTCGCTGGTATTGAATCTATGAAATATAAAAACAACATCATAATTCATTATTTTCCAGATGCCGAAATTCAAAATTTTGCGAAATTTTGGTTTGCAGTTTATTTAGTAGCATTATTTAGAGAACGTCGAGTTACGTATGCAAAATTGATTTTCCGATTTTGGAAAACAATTTTTCCTGGAAATATTGACAATATGACAAACCTCTAAAAGTCACGATAAAAGTCGTCCATTATCACAGATATATAAATATTTTATTTCTCGCTTTGTAGAACTCTATGAGAATTATTTTCTGATGCTGCAAATAAAATTAACAAAAAAATCGTAAATACATAATGTTTTTGTTTGATCAATTCCATTCGCAGAATCAAGAAAGAATTCTTATAGTGTTCTATCAGGTGAAAAATAAAATATTTATATATCTGTGATAATGGATGATCCTAATTATGATATTTAGAATTTAGTCATTTTTCGAATGTTTTCAGGAAAAACTAGTTTTCATAAATATAAACTATTTTACCTGAATTTGTAGAGGATTGATCTGGCATCATACTAAAATCAGTTGTCACATTACTTCTTGCTATAAGCATTTCAATACAGTTCGTTAATTCATCTGCGTCTGTACAAATTGCTCGAAGTTTATTATATTTCAAATGTTCATAATTGTCAATGTTTTTACAAAAAATAAAAATTCCCAAAATGCATTGGCACTCTTCTATGGCAGGTATTGCTTTTTCACTAAGAGCACCAGATACAATACAAATAATGTAAGATATTGTCTGTTTGGCATCTACTTGTCGTATATAAGCAATAAATTCTTCTGTATTTGTAAACGAATCTACTGCTCGATCAATTTCACTGAATTTTTTTAATATTCGTCGATTGTAAAAGCTGTTCATATTTTTATCAAGCCATACTATATGATATTGGCCAGCTAGATCATCTTCAACATCCATAGACGATTTTTGTGATATGTTTGATGCCATCTTTCCTATCTGCATTACACTTTTTTTTTATAAAGAAACAGCCATTATTTTTTTTCTTCTTTACAAACACACTTGACTATTCTATAGAAAAAAAACTAACCTTTTTTTCTTATCGTCGACACCGACGATGAAGCAATAAAAAAAAAGAATTCTTTTTTTGTCCATTGTTGAAAACAGAACGAGCTTTAAAAGTAAAGTTAATAGTATCTTTTTTGTTTTTTTATCTTTAAAAAAATGTTTGTGCATTATGTTCTCAAATAAAAAGAGTCTTATATGCACAAAAGACTTTTTATGCCTTTTATTTCATTTCCTCTTGTTTTTTTCGAAAAGAACGCCTGCATAGCCTTGATCTCGTTCTTTCAGACAGTGCAATAACCATCAGGTCATGAAGCTACAAGGTATGAGTACTCGTTGTTAAGTGCATAGCAACGAAGGACTTTTGCGTAACATGTCAAACGAAGATAGCCTTTTTCTTAAAAAAAAACAGCAGAAATTATTTGTACTCCAGTAGTTTTATTTGATTTTGATAGATTATGTCTTCGCATTATCTATTTTGTTCAACAAAATCTGTTTCATAAATTCACTCTAGTGAAACATTGTCACATGACAATTATGTTGCAATTGATCTTTCATATATACAAACTGTATGTTAACGCCTACTAGTTAATAATTTTATCTATCAAGAAGATAATGCTATGTCGCATACGTATTAGAAATCGTTGGCATGGTGTAAAGAGAATTTCATACATTTCATCAGCAATCATAGATAAATTAAGAACTACTCTGATTTATTTTATTGATCAAATAAAAAAACGACGAAAATTAGTCACATAGAAGTTTTTTCTATTTACAACACTAAAGGTGTATACATAAAATAAGCTTTGTATGAAAGATTGTAAAGCTTTTCACGCGGCATATGGTAGTATATTTTGTTTCTTTATAATATGTATTAGATGACGAAAAACTCAAATGCAAAACGTCATTATTCATTACGACGTACTCTTTCTTGTAAGGACTTATCTAATTTATCCTTTATTTTTAACTGATGGATCATTTATACGACTTTACATTTTGAATTATTAATGTGTTAGGTGAAATAAAATGTTTGTTTAGATATGTGTTGATAGAGAATTCATTGAACTTTAACTTTCTAAGTGTAAATAAAAAATTTCTTCATTACAATATAGAGTTTTAGATTAACTGTAACATGTAATGAAACATAAAAGAACTAACAACTTTTGTTTCTAGTGAATTATGAATGAAACTGGATAATACTATAGGCAAATAATTTATAATTTTATGTTCTGTTTCTTTTTAGTAATTACTAAAAGACTACACACAGGTATGAATTTAAAAAAAAGGCCTATTTAATTTTCTCTTGTCTTAAAATAACAACGAAATATAAAATGCTCGGAGTTGATCAAAAGTGTTGATAACATTAAATAAAATTCAGTCTTTGCTAATCATATCTAAAAGGTTTTCTTGGGCTCTTTGTCTAAAATATTTTTGAACCCTTGAGAAACTACATGAATTAATCATCCTTGATTTGCTGAACTGGTTTCTAGAATTTATCTTGAAATTTACGAAATTTTGTGAAAGATTGTATTCATTACATTCTATTATCATTCGTCATCAGACATGACTTAATTTTAGATTAGTTTGTAGCAAGTTATCTATTATTAGCTAGTTTAGTGAATATCAAGCATCACAGATTATTATTCGTAGAGGCAGATTTGTACAAAAACTTTGTTTTGTATATTCTTAAAATCGAATGTCCTGTTCTTGTACATAATGTCGATATAAGCAAGATTATTGATCACAACTATTATATTGAAACATGTCTCAAGCCTTTTGTTAATAAAATATGGAAACAAAGAGATTCATTAAGATTATAATAGTCGACTTGATACTTATCTAAATGCTATTAATTATTTAACAGTCAGCATCATATATATTAATATCATATTCGCTGTATTCATAAGAACTTGCACTATGTGATTTTTTGGCTAAATGATTATATCAAGCGCTATTTAACTAGTCAAACAAATAAATGATGATGAGCTCATACGGTTTCCCCACCTTCTAAGGAAACTATCCTTTCTTTGAAAAGCATAGCTCTATCTATGAAAATCAGTGACTTTGATTAGTTTTCTTGTATTTTGAAAATAGCTTATATACACTTTAATTACTGCATTTGATGTCATGCAAATTAAATAGTTATGTGACGTATTTCTAGGACGAATAATACAAGCTTTGTATGCTCTTGTAAACAATCTTGTTGCGTAGGATTGTATGTGTAGACATTCAATGTAAAGCTTAGCTAAAGTATAGAGTATCTCAAAACTATAGAAGAACCTACCGATTTTGTCGAAAAACATTCTTGAAATTTTAAGAAGCTGATGTTATAAAGTCTTTTTCTTGAAATTGAATCAATTCTTTTCAAAAACATCAATAGGATGTTCTATAATGTCAGAATATCCGATACAATTTCTATATTAAACTCGTTCAGACACTTTTGATTATTTAGACGATTGCCCAATCGTTACTTGAGGTTTTTGAGCCTTCAGCAATTCAACTTTTGATCTATTCACTTCAACTTTGTAAAGGTCTACCATAGGCAATCCTAGTCATATTTGGCCATGTAAACCACCATATCCATCAGAGTATAGCTGTTTGCAATCTACGGCACATCCGAATTCAATGACATAATATAGATGTTTTCACTTCTTTTCCTCACGCAACATTATCTGGTGTGATAATATCATGAGCTATGAAAGTAGAAGGATCTGACATTGACGAACAAATGCAGATTGATCTAAAGCATTATATAGTATACATACTAAAATATGAGCTAAACCCAAAATAATGAGTGTGCAATTATCTGATCGTCTCATTGCTAGGCTGAATGGTCAAACCTAACTTTTTTGGTTTGTATCTTGTAGTAAAATCCTCCTATTCACATTCAAAACAATGAGAAAATTTTCCTGCTATGTAAATCAATGATTATGAGCATATAAAATTGTGATTGCTATTCAAATAGTCAATGCTTTTTAAAGAATGGTCGGTTTTTTTGTTTTCATTATTTTAATATTTCATGAAATGCAAATTTTCCCGCAATGACAATGGAATAGGCTTTGAAGCTCTAAAATTTTATTAAAATGAATAAATTGAATATAAAATTTATTTTACATTTAAAAGCTTAAATCAGATTTATTAATTCTTTTCTTTCAAATGGATGGATTAAAACAAAATCTGAAAAAATTTTTGCTGCCTATATTTTTCTATTTTATCAGTCCATCAACATATCCATATGTCTTTATCTAAAACAGAATAGATACTATAAAAAAACTCCAGTAATTAATCAAAAACAGTCTTATAATTAATTTATTTCCGTCGTCTTTTTCTTACTTGTCACTGTCTTGATCTAACTGATTGACACATACATATCAGCTGCTTGTACTGCAAAAGATATAACTAAAATGATCCGACGACCTTTTCTTCACTCCTAACGATATACAGAAGTTAATTTAGTGTTATTGACTTGTTGAGTTGAGTGTATATGCGGACTAATTATTTTTGGCTTTTCCTTCAATGAATACTTCATTGGTATCTTCTTAATAAGTAGTCCAACTGATCGGTAACGACTTTTGTTCGACTTATAACAATAAACGAGAATCATTAATATTGTTTGAAACACATCACAATCATTTCAAGATGTTATCATTAGAGACATAGCTCATTTGTCATATACATATATATGTTTTTCTTTTTAGAGGCAACATATCTTCTGTTACTGGCACTTCTATAGTCATCTATCCTTTTCTGTTTTACTATATAATTAGATACAACTCAATATAGGATAATCAAAGCGAATATCTACTTGATATTTCTAAAGAAAATTAGATATATATTTATGCTAATAATGAATATTACTGTAGTGTCGAGAAGTCTTTAATTATTATTCATCGTCTTCATCCGTTTGTTTTTCGTATGGAATGATTACTGTCAATAATTCATTTTTATCAAACAATACAACAATAGATTCTGTACATTCATATCTAAATTCAACCATTGAAATTCATGATACATCAGCGGTCAGTACAATAATTACAATTATTATTCTATCAATCTTAAGTGTATGTGGTTGGATATTTATGTCATATGCACTTTTTGGTCGATCTGAAGCTTATCATACAAAGCCTGATGATCAATTTGGAGCATCACTTCATACAAATAATCCAGATGGACCAAATTCAAATGATTTTACAGCTGATCTTGACTAGATATTAAACTTATATGATTGACTAATTCAAAAATTTATTTATTTTTTTATTTAAAATACTAATTAAAAACAAACCAAGATAAAAAAGTTCAAACGAACAAGCAGACCGACATTTATCATTTCTTTCTTTCACGATATTCTAATTGACGTTCATAATGATACTATTGTCAATATGCAAAATATTAAGAACTTTCTTTGTATGTTATTTAACCAATATAACCTAGATAATCGCATGGTGCGAATGCATAGATAGTGTTTCTTATGCACAAAAGTATTCGTGTTGATAAGATCTTATACATTCTCTATCCATATTTCCTGTGTAAATAAAACAAGGTGTACTAGGCATACATGCACTATTTGACTACCAATATTTCCAATATGCCATTTACTATTAAACAGAATAATTTTTGGTGTTCTTTGAGTTACAATTCTACCTGGTTTTAACGATCAATATTGATCATAGTATTTTCATGGTTAAAAAAAATTCAATTGATTTGATATATTTGAACTTTGCTACCTCTTAATTGATATGATAGATACATATTGTGGTTGTAATGAAATTAGATTTTTATATTGTTCATCAATATTTGATTGCACCATAGAAAAAAACTGGTAATAGACATTGGTTTTAATTATTAAAAGAATATTTTCTTTTATTCAAATAAAAGACAAATGAATGAGGATGTATTCATAATTTTTTCTTCAATCTTACAATTGAAATCTTTTACCTGAGAAACACTAGAGAAGAGGGATTTTCATATTTCGAATTGAAGCCTTCCACAGAGGCTAGACTCATCAAACTTAGTTTGTTACTTCTATCCTGAGATATAACATTTTAGCAAAAATAAGCTAAGTTTTTGAACTTTTATTAGGCGCTACACGATGCACATAGTTCGAACTCTAAAATGATTTATCAACTCGAGAAACTTTTCTCATTAGTTGTTAGAAAACTAGTTAATTTTTCGAAATTTTAACTTCATAAATATGACTAATCATTAGTAAATCAATGCGTTCACGAAAAACCCATGCAGATGATTGTGTTTTGTGTATAAAACTATTAATTTTGACTAATCATTTTTGATAATGTAATCATTTGTTTGTTTTAAAATTATTTTATTGACAAGAACTAATAAAAAAAAAAGTCTTCATTATACCCTTTTTCCTTGTTTCATTATACTACGACTAATTGTTTTCAAATTCATTGATTGAAAAAAAGAGAACTCAATAAATAAAATGTTATTATGGAAAAATTATACTAGAAGTCGTATAATAAGAGATTCCTTTATGCCTTTTTAAAATAATAACAATAAAATTAATCAATTTTCACTTGAAATGATGGTCTTTCAGTTGTTGTTGTTTTCTTTTTCTTTGCAAAACCACTAACAAGAACGAGAAGAACAACAGCAAGACATATCATCGGTATTACTATTAAATACATCTATAAAGAAGGAAAATTTACAATGATAAAAGAATATTACAAAAAAAAAAACAATAATTACCGGAATTATTTGAGCTGCTTTTTCAGAAAACAATGAACTAAAGAAAATTAATTTATCAGAAAAAAAAACAAGAAACTAAACTATCATAAAGACTTACAAAGCATTTGGTTCAACCGGAACTTTTTCAGCTTTAACATTTTGATATCCATTTTCAATAAATTGTACAAATGCTGTTTGTTTCCATGATGCACTTTCATAGCGATACATTTTGCCTTTTTTAAATCTGATATTATAGATATTTTTTATCTTATTTATTTTTCTTTTGAATTAATTTTAAACTTACAATATAAAAGCAGGTAAATTAAATAGATGAAAACGTTTTTGTATAATTGGATTTGTATCTACATTAACATAAGCAAATATTGCTCGATTTCGAAATCTATACAAACAAACATATCGAATTTTATGAAAACAATTTAAATATATATTTAATTCAATACTTACTGAAGAGATGCAGCTTCCCAGACAGGGAGTAAACTACGTGACTCGTTAGTTTTTTTACTGAAATAAAAGCAAAAAATTATATCATCACAAGAAGAAAACTAGATTTTCCATACAAAAGAATAAACCAATCGCCTGTAGTCGAACCAGTTGCTGCTTGTGTATCATGCTCAAATGTTTTATCATCTAAAACATGTGTCAATTTTTCTCGTCCTTCACCAAACCATTCTTGAATACTATCCATATTCGAAAGTACACCTGAAATAAATAGATAAATGTTGATCCATTGTCTTATAATTCGAAAGTACTTTGACAAATTCATTCCATTCAAGCAACAAATGCTTGGACCAAACGCTAATTTCTTGTTGTAGGATTTACATTTACTGACAGAAGAACTTCTTTCGATCTAACCGTTGACTCCTTTTGGATCACTGAAATGACCATTAACAAAATTATCAATTGGGTTGCTCAAAATCTGGTATGCTTTTTTTTTATGAGAAAAATACGGAAAAATTCAGAACTGAAATCGGAGTATTCACTTTCAGAACTCGATAAATCCTAGTTTGAAAGTCAAAAACGAAAACGGCTGATTTCTCGCCTAAGAAATACTCCTAAATATTTGTAGTAAAAATTCCAGTCCGACCGAACAAAGTCATATGATCATTATGAAAAATAAACTTTCTCAAAATTCAGTAATTCTATAGCAGCAACCTGTTTAGAGTGAAATGTTGTCTCTAATATGATTCGAGAGAAATGATTGTAACAATTTTTTTTAACATTAGTATTGGAAGAGATTTTGTTTTTATCATTTTTCAATACAAGAAATTTTGTTGTCTAATTACCTGAATAAATAATTGGAAAACCATTTCTAAAAAAACAAAGTTTGGGTAATGATCCATAAATATTGAAATATTTTTCAGCAATTGTTGCGTTAGTTGAAAGAGCAAATTGAATATTTTCACTGGTACATAAATCACGAATTTGTTCTAATTGACTACGTTGTTGAGCACATTTATCATCATTTTCATTATTGCACTGTTGTTTATCGACTAGAGAAAAAAATATATTCGATTCTGTTTTATTTTAGAAAATCAAGTTTTTTTTTTTTACTTACCAAACACAAGAACATTCAATGAAGATGATTGAATAAAATCATCTAATTGTTCTTCATTATGAATTCGTTTAAAATCTTCATAATTATAACAATATGATAAAGAAAAAAGAATGAACAATACTAATATTTTCATCTAGAATACAAGTAAATCAACAGCAAAAAAGAAAAGAAAATTTGAATATTAAAGTTGTGGATCAAAACGTTGAATCGTACGAAGTATTAAATTAATTTTTTCAATATAACTTTCAACAGCTACACGAATAAATTTTGCTTCTTCAGCTTCAAATCGAACATTGAGAATATTGTTATCCAAGGTTTCTATACGTTGAACTGTTTTCTTTGGTTCTTTATCAATGCGTACCGAATTGTAGACGATTTGAGCATGGCGTGCTGTTGCCAATGGAAAACTTAATTCACATACAAAATTCATCTAAAAAAAAGAAAAAAGCATTTCAGCGAAATGAAATATCAATTTTTTGAGAAAAGTGCTTTTCTTTTAGTGGATTGCTAGAGTGCATAATGAACAAAGCGACATTATTCTCGTTTCAAATTTATACATATATGTATATCGTGATTGATAAGAGTATTCTATTACTTTGTTACATTAGAAAGAAAAACCAACTCGTCGAGCCGGCTCGGACTTGAAATTTTTTGGGTAACCGAGTCCCAGTCTGAAAATTTTGGATCCTATGTGCTCTAATGGAAACTCCTACTACAAGCTCTACTCAGTTAAAATGATAGATCGACATCTGACTAATTGTAGCTTTCAAGAGATGTATGAATTTAATTATTTAATCATAAAATGTAACCTTCATCTACCACGAAAACTAAATCATAACGTTTTCTGTGTCAAAAATCTAAATTATTATCAATAAAACAAAAATACACTAATCCATCTTGTTTATTTTGTTTATAAGATAATACTATTTCAAAAAAAAAAAACCAACAATGACAATAATTATCTGACAAAAGGACAACAAAAAAGAACTAGATGTACAAAGAAATATCTGAGAAACAACAAAAAAACAGAAAAAATGCGGTCACTTATTTATTGATATAATTGCTCTATTTGTTTTTCATATTCATGAGTCGGATTTCTTTTAAGTATATTTTTAGTTAAAAAATAATTAATTTTATTTGATGACCATTTATTTATAGAAAATCGTTCACCACCTATTGTACGTCGTTTACTTGATGATGTTTTTTTTGTTAAATAAAATCGATCAGCATAACGAATAAATTCATCATAAAAAACCATTTTCCAATTGATTGATTTTTTCGATGAAAAATTTGTTTCATCCGAACTTGATGTTAAATCCATATCACTTGTTATACGTTCTAATATTAAACTAAAATCAGCAGATAATGATTTACGTTTATTAGCAAAAGGATTTCTCCATGATTGATAAAATTCTTCAAATTTTTCAAGATTTGGTAATCGTTTTGATGATAATTGATGACCAATTTCAATAGATTCACTAAGTATTCGATCAAAGTTTGGTAGATGTTTGTCAAGATGACGTGCTATTTGTTCTTCTGTTTTATGTACGCTGACATTGGACACCTTAACGAAAAATAAAATATATGTCTTTCAGCTAGAGTTATGAGAATTCCGTCTGGAGAATTTTCAAATCGTTCTAAATCCCGCTAACTGAAAGAGGCCTAGAGATGTCGTTGTAATAGAGTCCTATGAGACAAATGTTTTGCAGAACTCTAATTTTAGAATATCGATTGATAATGACCTTGAATTTAAATCGCATTAGATTTTTTTTATATTTTCTCGAAATTTAGATTGAATATAAAAACATACATGAGCTTCTGTATATAAATACATAAATAATTACTTTTTTATCTTGGTTATCGACGACTATACATTCATTATTATTATTATTAGCGTCAGGTGGTGGTAATGGACAACTAAGATTTAATATAGCATAGCGATTATGAATAAAAAATGTAATCCAAGCAGCATAGAATAAATTTAATAATGCATCAAGACGATCTTTGTCATTTAATTCGTCTAAATATTTTGAATAACTTCCAAAAACAAGTAATAAACCTTCAAGCCATCGAAAACCTTGTAATGGTTTAAGATTACTATATAAACATTTATGATGTAATGAATTCAATTCATTTTCAATAACTTCAACAATAGCATGGGAATAAAATCGATGATCATCAATCCAAATATTGTATAATTCAGGGTCACGTTCAAGAATAGAATCTGAACATCGATGAAATGTTTTTAATGCATCTGTAGAACATTTTATATCAAGATCGAATACATTATAACATTTATTTTCAAGATCAATCTCAAGGACAAATGGATCATCATTGGTAACACCATTGACGGCGACAGCAGGTATTGTAGACGACATATTGATCAATCTGAGACTGTGTGAAAGACAAAAGACAGAAAAAAAAGTGAATGAATGAATGACCTAGTCATTCCCAGTGAGTCATTCACAGAAGAAAAAAAAAACTTGAATAAAGCAATCCAATGAATGAATATGGTAATATGTGCTCCATCTATAGGCCAACAAAATTCGATTTTTTTTTTCGGTTAAGAAAAAAATGCATATTGATGCTTTCTAATGATTTCAACGAACTTTTTAATAAAATAAATAAATTAATCAGTATAGAAAGCACAAACTTAGCTCGTATAGCAAAACTAATTGTATTATTTGTTAATAATAAATATCGCACATTTCTATTAATTCGTATTGCAAAGCGATGACTAATATCTTTGACAAAAAAAAATTACATCTTAGAAGATGTATTACACCAACAGTTAAAATCTATGTGAAATCATAACAATAAAAATAAAAGTTTTATTAAATTTTCTTTTTTTAAAGTAAATATAAATCTCTGTTATAAAAATATTTAACACATTAATATATGTTGAATTAGCTTGTAAACTATAAGAAATCCATTCGTTTCCGACTAAAGAAATAGGAAGTAATGATATTTCAATTTCCGTGTAGGTAGAGAATGAATCGGAAATGGCTAGATTTAATTATTTCTCCTTAGTTTTCTTCATGTATTTTATACATATATTTTCTCACAACAAGTTTATCTTGTTTATTTTTTAATTGTTTTTTTTTCGATTAATGACACAAAAGTTTCGTAATGATAATCAATCATAAGTGAATAAAAGTAAAAGTCGTAGAAAAAAAATAAATAACGATCGGTATAAATTTGGAAAGATTAAACTACCGTACAAAAATAAGAGAATAGATTGACATGTTTTAAATAGACTCTTGTAAGAAGAATTTATTTCTACTCTAGTTGTCAAAGATATTGTAGTATTTAGAATTAAATTCATTCCTCATAATTTTCAATTTCATTTGGATTTTTAACAAGATCAGTAATGTTTTTAAAAATTAATTCAATAAAATCAATTTTTTTTGTACTTAGATTTAAGGTTGGTTTTATATCAACTATCATTGTGAATATTTCAGTAGATGAATAAATAAAAGTACAAATTATTAATTCATTGCTTAATGTTAATATTGAATTTAATAAACTTTCACGAACATGAGATTGTTCATCAATAGGTATAAAATCTAATATGGACTTATTACGAAATAAATCAAATGATATTGATGGAAATGTTGATATTGAACAATCAACAAGAAAAATTTTCCAATCATTTAGTGTACATCGACAAGAAAATATTAATAATTGAGGATTTTTATATAGATGCATATTTTTCTTATTATATTGACTTGTTAATGGTATATAACATATACCAATAAAAGCAAGAAAACCATATTCATCTGTTGATATAGGTTTTAATAATTGATTAATCTTTTTTATTGTACCATCAATAATAACTGACACATATGAATTATTACTTTGTATTAATCGACATTGAATAGAAATTTTTTTATCAATTTGTTTAGTTAATGATATTAATTGACTTTGAACTTGAAGTAAATCATCTGGATGTACAAATGAAACAAGATTTTGTCCAAGCCATTGTTCAGGTTTAAAATAAAGTATTCGATAAATCGAATTCGTAACATGTTTTATATGAAACAATGTTGAATCAACAGTTGTAACAAATAAAAAAGCCTTACTTGCTTCGAAACGTAAAAAATTAACTTCAGCTTCTGTTAAATATGAAGGAAGTAATGAACTACATTGATCACGTAAATTAATTTTATTTAATAATTCTGTAGCTAAATATAATGAAACTAATTGTGTATATTTTGATGATTTTGAAGGAAACCAATGTGTAATTAAAGATGATAATTCACAAAAATGTTTACTTTCTGTTTGACGTCGTCGTTCTTCAATCTCTTGATGTATTTTCCTTTTCTTTGCACGAACATTATCATCATCTTGTTCTTTTGCTTCATCATGATAATTATCTATATTTTCTTCATCGTCCGATTTCGGTGTTTCCGTATCAGTTGTCATTAATTGATGAGAATTTGTTGAGTTTAATGCATTAGAATAATCAATATTTTCACTGAAACATGACATAGATGAATAAACCGAATACATATTGATCTATATTTATGTTGATAATATAGATTAAGATGATAAATAGTCCTCTATGCAATAGAAATCGTAATAAAAAATATCCAAAACTTTTCTTTAAAATAATAAATTAATTCCAAGTGCATATAGAAATGTATACAATCATCGGTCCCCGTTGACGCCTACAGAATTGTTTCGTTTTTATCGCTTTAGACATTTTATTTTTTTACTACGCCTACCTTTTATATATACTAATAATGATACGTTTTCTTTCTTCCTCGTTACCATGGACTTCGTTACTTCACCTGCTTTGTCAAAATACTTGTTTCTTATTTGGTTACAACTGAAGAAAAAAAATATTTTCTTTAGTCGCTTATCTGACTACATATTTTATTTTAATTGATAAATCAGCAAAAAAAACAGAAAAACTAAAATTGTCATTAAATTTACAGCTAATAAAGTTGCTTGATTACAACCATCATGTGAACATAATGTTATTGTACCTTGCATTCGTACACCTTTGATATGATTAAAATTTTTTAAACGAAAATTTCCTGTTGAATCAGATGATCGTGTTGAATCCATAATATTATCTATAATACATGTTCGTAGATAAAGACTTTTATGTAATAATGAACGATTGACATTTCGATCAACATCAACAACAGTACCGAATATTTTAACACAAAATCTAGCAGGAAATACACCACTTTTACCATTTGACGTTGCTAAACATTCAATTTCAAGATAATTATTAATTGGATGAAATGGATCTGAACATGTGTCATTTTCAAAATTTGTTGTCATACATTTAAAACAAGATAAGCAATGAACATTTTTTGAAAAATATACAAAAGTAATAATTAAAGGAATTAAGAACATCATCGAAGATTTAATTGAATGATTAAATACTAGTTTGCAACCAATGTCTTTGTATGATAATATTCACCATTATGATTGCTATGATATCTGATCATGCTATTTCTATTTTTTCCTTCTATACACTTGATATCGTCTATAATGATTTGTGTAGGCGTTCTTTCTTTTTTTGTTCTTTCTTTTTTTTTTTTTTTTCTTTTCTCGATTTCTCAACTAATTTCGCCTTTTTTTCTGCTTTTCCGTCGATCTTTTGTCTGTATGTGTGTCGTTGAACAAGAACTAGCTAATGTCATTCAATAGTTCTCGATGCATTTCAATGTTAACTATAGTTACTATTCTCTACCATTGATGTGACGCGATAGTATGCATATAGTATTCACGGGCAAAAATATAGAAAAAGCAAAGAGCTCAACGCCTTTTGTTTCGCATATCTCATGAGAATCGCATGTTCGTATGAACGCTGCTGTTGTCAATTGCAACGAACGAGCATCAATCCATACACATAGGGTCCTTAAATAAATAAAGAAAAGAAGAAATAGTGTTTCTCGGGTGTGACAACACTTGTATGCTTAAAGGAAAATATTTGCCATTTGCGAATCTTTTCTTTTTGATAAACACTTGTCTAAAAAGAGAATATTGTTACAGTTATTACTTTGACTAATATGATTCTATTCTACAAATTAATAAATAGAACTTGGACAATTAATCGTTAAATGTCGGTAAAAATCCCTTGAGATATGATGAAGAAAAATTCTTTTCAAATTATGATAAATGTTGCTTTTATTGAACATAGCGATTATATATATGACATTAAAGACTAAAGAAAAATATTTATTGGATAGTTGAGAAAATACAGTATTGAACATTTTTTCAAATAAAGAAATAAACTAAAGACATTTTAGTAATTGATGATTTTATTCTAAGCAAAAGATACAAACTAATTTTCCAGAGACAATAAAATATAAAGACTGATCAATTGATCTGGATAATCTACGCTACTCATTAATGCAATTTTTCACTTGTTTCCTGTTTACAAAAAGAAAAAAAATGCTCAATCAAGATAGAAACTGTCAACTTGTAGAAGAATGTTATTATAGTATCTCAAAAGAAATTTAAAATGAAGACTTTCGTATAAAATTGTATTGTGATACACTAATAATTCTTTACGTATTAACGCTATAATTTCAATGCACTGTGTTACAAAAAAAGCCTTTTATGCTGTAGACTAACAGATTAACAATGCGATCTTAATTAAACAGTTAGAAAAATATGTTTTGTACCTTAATAGTACTATTGCGCGATGAATTTGTTCTCTGATACTTATAAAATCAACATTCAGCATACGTATAAATTTTCCTTGAATAAATATAGCAGCGTTTGGTTTCTTTCTCACGAGGAAACTTCTTGAGGTATCAAATCGCTTTTTATCCGAGACAATGTTCATTTGATTAGTAATAGAAAAGTTAAGAGTGCTTTGGGTTTTTTGGACTTTCGTTCTTGACATATTCGAAATTTTACTGAATTTTGCAACAAAAAGCTGTGATGCCTTAATCGACTTCAAACTTTTGCATGAACAAAGTTCTCTGTGAGATTATATCATTGGGTAAGTTTCAGTTGTGCTTTTATTTCCAATCTGAAGATATAAACATTGAAACAAAATTTACTTTTACATATTGGAAACTTTCGAATATTGAATATCTCAGGATAGGAGATACTGGGAAAGTTACAACTTGCTCAATGAATTAATCTAATAGAGTAGTTTGAAGTCGAATATCTTAATCGACCTGAGTAGACAACAGTTTTTTGTTGAAAAACTCAGTAAAACTTCGATATTTTACGAAAGAAGAGTTAGAAAGTCAAACCATTCTAGACTTTTCTATTACTCATCAAACAAATATTGTCTCGATCGATAAGCGATTTAATATATGAAGATGTTCTCTAGTGAGTTGCATATGTAGATTTAAACATTGTCGTCTTGTAAAGATTGATTTTTTTCTATCATTTAGTTTTCCGAAATAGAAACTGACATAAAATAAATCAATAGAGAGAACAATTGATTTTGAAACTTTCATACATTTTGAATATTATATGTCGTATCTCAAGTCAATAACAATAGAACTTATTCTTCAAAGCATGTCTATGCACGCATTATAAAAATAATGTAAATTCTTTGATGATATTGTTTATTCCGTATTTGTTCTTGAATGTCTCGACGTTATGCATACTTTCTATGATATTTTCCGGTCTTTTTTTTTATATGAATTAACATAAAACTATTTTATTTACTTATGTTCTACTTGAATACAAGAATATATAAAATCGGAAGTGAAATGTCACTTTAAGAAAAAACAATCCTTGGATCGAATCCTAATAGCAAAGTTTACATTATTTAACATTGATTGATGCTTAGCGTCCTCTTTCGAGCATTTTCTTGCAAGGCTATTGCTAATTACCACTAATATGTTTTTAACAATATTTTGTAACATTTATTATTTTCTGTAAGATAGATTGATGATATTTTTGGTATATAAAGCTTTCTTTGTTGTTTTTTCCTCTATAGATTGTCTGATTATTCTTTTCAATCTTTTGGTTATAATAATAGAATGTGTGACAATAAAAAGTCATATTTGGCGAAATATTGAGGTAGATCTAAATCAAATATTATTATATATTCTGTATAATAAGACTTTAATCTAGAGCATGAAATTCTCAAAGCAGTAACAATGAGATGTGGCAAAAAAAAGACTCTGCTCTACAAGACATTATTTCATTAAAAAAATCAATAAAATCATGTACGATTTGCTACTCATATCAATTATGTGTTGATTAATTAATAAATTCGAATGATTAGATCGTTTCATTTAAAGAAAGCTGATCGATCACGTGACGAAAATAAAAGATTATTACATATAATGCGAACATATTCGAAAATAATAATATCGATTTTTCCACATACAACTGATATAAAATTTCACCGTAAGCTATTAAATAGGCGTCTTATTGTTCTTATTCATTTGTTTTTCTTCAGTTATCAAGCTCAAACTAGACGTGAAGGTCTTGATGAAAAATTCGATAATCCACATGCATTAAATATAAATGACATTGATCCAAAAGGATTAGAAATGTATTCAAATGGTGAAATTCGTACTTCTTTGACAAATACTTAAGTACAAAAAAGTAGAGCATACAGCACGTGACAAACAAATTGAAGAAGTACGTCATTATTCTAATAAATCATTTGGTGTAGATTATTATACTGAAATTCTATTTACGAAAATGTTCAAGACTTGGTTTCAATACTATAAGAAATCAATTAATAGATCTTGATAAAGATTGATTTAAAATGTGAATTTATCTGTTTGCGAAGGATATGAACAACATGTTAGAAAAAAAGATAATATAAAATTAAAACATAAAATAGAAAGTTCACAAGCTCTTATTATGAGTGAAAATTGTCTTGTGTGCAAGATGAATGTGCTGAATTAAACACATCTAGACCAGCTATCGAATTAATTGTGGTAGATGTCAAATGCTTTATGTCATATACCTTATTGGACATCAGTGAGTGCAACAGCTGATGAAAGAATATCAGGAATACATTATACTTATATCTGATCAATTGCAGATGAATGCAACAGAAATGTTACTTGATAATCAATGAAAACAGGTGAGTAAATTTAAATCTTAAACTATCCTTCAATAATTGTTATCATAGGATAAGTTTGTCTGTTAGAGTTTATTCTTATGAATACGGGCGACATCAATTTCGATGAATTGTAATATTATAAAATTGAATAATGAGTGCTACCAACAGCGGGATCAAGAAAAAAAGGTTTTTAGACGGAGAGTGCAATCTTATATATTCATAATCATAGAAATTTTGTATTTTATTTCGATAGCACTAAATATTTAGCTTCTCTCAATGTTAACGTAGGATATGCTTAATATATGTAGAGAGTGATATGTTTTATGACTAGCGTGAAGTAAAATAGTGATTATGAAATTGTTTTAAGCCTGATACATATGATCATATACATGCTTAGCATGTTAATGATGTTATAAAAAAACAAGCAATAGGTTATGGTAATATAAATATTTATATTTATTCGAAGTTATGAGGTGAATATTATGCTCAAGAAATTTTGTCAACATGAAAAGACCATTTTATTCGAGCTAATGCATCTAGCATGGATTCATAGTCGTCCTATTTTTCAAAAAAATGAAGGTTCTTTTGAAAGGCTCACATATTTCATAAAAAATATTTGGCGTGTTTCTGTGAATATTATCACTAGGACTTATAACATAACATACAGATAATAGCGACTATACATATATGTACTGCGTCATTTTTCACTTTCGTCGAAACAATGAATCAGTTATGATGCAATTGAAATCTTTTATTTTTTAAAAATTTTCACAGATGATTGGTCTTTCTTATGAAATATGTATAAATGCGTGTTGAAATATAGGATTAGAAACTTGACTGCTTTTTCTCAATGGGCACACAATACAGACCAAACAAAAAGAAATTTTTTAGTGTTTTCGATAAAACGTTTTTTAATAAAATTCTGTATACTATTAAGTAAATATTCGTTTTGTAAAACCTTTTATATGCTATCTTAAGAGATATTATTCAATTTAATTGCATGTCATACTACTGAGAAAACTAGAGCTTAAGCTAAGAATGGGTTTTGTCACTTGGCTGTCTACTTTGACACTCTAATCATGGGCATGATGGATACATTACGAACTACTTCAGTAGTGTCTTCTCGTGTCTTTTATCACGGAATTCGAGAAAGTCTTAGTAGTGCTTCTTCTTCGTCATATACTTTGACCATTTTCTCCTTACGACTCATTGGCGAGTACGTACAAAAGACTAATCTAATGTAAAATTAGTATGAAATATGACTGAATTTAACTTAGCTGAC